CCCCCGCCACTGAGGCACCGTGCTGCCCACCTCACCCGGCCCCTCTCTCTTCCAGAATACGCTGCTGTGCTTTGCCGTCCACGGGATCTTCAAGGAAGGTGAGCTTCACCCCTTCGCCCCCACCGCCGTGTGCCCCCCCACCTCACTGCAGGCCTTCCTCCCACCACCTCCTCTCCCTTTCTTCCGCAGTGGACGGCAAATCCCGAGACTCGGTGCGCGCCTTCACCCGGATGTTCATCGCCGTGCCAGCTGGCAACACTGGGTAAGTGGCAGATATCGTCTACCAAGATGTCGCCCACGCTTTTGGCACTGCACGTCCCCCCCCGCTGCCTGCCCCTCCCCCCTCCCACCGTAAGAGCTTCGCGGAGAAGCTGTGGACGCGGGAGTAGGACAAGCAGGGAACAGCGTGGATTGAAAACCGGGGGTGCCGATGAGTGGCTCTGATCGGCGCTGGGTCCGATTCTGGGCTCTCCGGTACGGATGGATGTCCGGGAGCGAGTCTAGCTGAGGACTGCGAGGATGATGAAGGGGGCTGGAGCATCTCTGTCCTGTGAGGAAGGGCTGAGAGAGCTGGGGCTGGTCAGCGTGGAACAGAGGAAGCTCCAGGGAGACCTTCAATACTTAAAAGATGGGGACAGACTTTTTAGCAGAGCCTGTAGCAATAGGACAAGGTGGGGAACAGTTTTAAACTCAAAAAAGGGGAGAGATTTGAACTAGATCTAAGACATTTTTGATACTGAGGGTGGTGAGACGCTGGCAGAGGTTGCCCAGAGAGGTGGTCGATGTCCCTGTCCTTGGGAATATTTGACGTCAGGCTGGACGGGGCTCTGAGCAAACTGATCTCGGTGAAGATGGCCTGGCTTGTGGCAAGGGGGGTTGGACTGAGTGAGCTTGGAAAATCCCCTTCCCACCCAAACCGTCTCGTGATTTTATGATAAACACCCGCAGGGAGGGTGCAAGGAGCTCATAGAATCATTCGTGTAATTAATCACTGAATCATTTAGGTTGGAAAAGACCCTTAAGAGTCCATCGTTAACACCCCCAGTTCTCTCAGCCCCTTTTCTTGTTCTCCAGACCCTTCACCAGCTTCGTTGCTCTTCTCTGGCCGCGCTCCAGCACCTCAATATCTTTCTTGGGGTCCAAAACCCAGCACGGTATTCGAGGGGACGAGGACGATCGCGTCCCCTTGTCCTGTGGGCCATGCTATTTCTGACACAAGCCGGGAGGCTATCAGCCACCTCGGCCACCTGGGCACATGGGTTGGAGCTGGGCTTTTGCCTGCAGTGCCCAGTGCCAGAGGACTGGAGGGAGCTGGAGCACAAGAGGGTCCTTCTGAAAGTCAGGAGGCAATTTTTGGCGGTGAGGGTGACAGCACAGTGGCCCAGGTCACCCGTGGAGGCGGCAAAGTTGCCGTCCTCAGAGATCTTCGACGGCCGTTGGGTCGTGGTCTTGGGCAAGCGGCTCCGGTTGCCCTCTCCGATCCCTGCAACCGGGCTGTACGGCAGAAGGTGGGCAGTGTGTGTGTCCCCCCATCGCCGTGCTCACACCCTTCCCCTCTCTTTTCCCCCCCAACCCCCAGGCTCTGCATCGTTAACGACGAGCTCTTCGTCCGCAACGCCACCACCGAAGAGATCCGCAAAGCCTTCCTCATGCCGGCGCCCACCCCTTCCTCCAGCCCCGTGCCCACCCTCTCTGCCGAACAGCAGGAGATGCTCGCCGCCTTCTCCATGCAGTCAGGCATGAACCTCGAGTGGTCCCAGAAGTGAGTCCTGGACCGCCCACACACCACCCCCCCCTTAACCCCCCCAAAATTGGGGACCCTACCCCCCTGTCCCCCCCCTTCACCCTCTCCTACCCCCCCAGGTGCCTGCAAGACAACGACTGGGACTATGGCCGGGCCGGGCAGGTCTTCACCCAGCTGAAGGTGGGTTTGGTGGGGTGGGGGGGTCTGACCCAGCATCCCCCGTCCCCCCCCAAACCGGGGGTGCCCTCAGCTGAGCCTCCCCCTTCTCTTTTCTCTTTGCAGGTGGAAGGCAAGATCCCAGATGTGGCGTTTCTCAAGTGAGCGGCGTCCACCACCCTCTTCCCCCTCCCCTCCCCCCTCCCCCGGTGTTTTATTCCCACCCCACGTTTTGTAAATAAATCAATAAATAGCCCCGTTTCAACGCTGGCGCGTTAGGGGTGCGCTGCGCCTTTAAGAAGGGGGGGAGGTGTGAGGCGGCTTGGCGACGCTCCCGGCACAAAGATGGCGGCCGACCTCGGAAGTAGAGGCGGAGTTCAACCCGGATGTGGTGGTAGCTGACCCGGAAGTGGTGGTGGGGAAATGGCGGCGGCGAGGGCCCGTGCGGCGGCGGCGGCCTTGGAGGCGGCGGCGTCCCCCCCACGGGACGTGGTGCTTTTCCGACACGAACGGGACCGGTTTTTCCGTTTAGCCGGGTTCTTCTGTGCGGGGCAGGGTCTTTTTTGGGCCTACCTGGCTCATTTCGCTTTTACGGCTCTTCGACCCGCACCCGGTCCCGGTCCTGGTTCCGGTCCCGACGATCCGCTCCGGCCCCGCGATAATAAATGGAGATTCGGTTTCACCGCCTCCTGCCTCACCCTCGGTAACGGGACGGGGACGGGGCTGGGGCAGGGTGGACGGAGCCCGGGGGGGGAATGGAGCCGGGCCGGCGACAGGCCTGGGGGGAACAGAACCGGGCCTGGGGGGCCGGGTACGGGCCTGGGGTCCCCCCTGACCCCCCTTGTGCCCCCCCCCACGCAGGCTCTCTGATCGTGGCAGCCGGTTGCCTGTTCCCGCTCCGTGCCGTCCGTCAGGTGACGCTGCTACGGGGCGGTTCGGAGGTGACGATCAGCACCCACGGACCGATGGGACTTGGCCGGGGTCCCACTGTCACCGTCCCGTTACGCCACGTCTCCTGCCGCGCTCACCGCAGCGAAGTGCCGGCCGCCGTCCCCCTCAAGGTGAAAGGACGACCGTTTTATTTTTTGCTGGACAAGAGGGGACAGATTTACAACCCCCGGCTCTTCGACATCACCATCGGCGCCTACCGCAAGCTCTAGTTGATGCCAGGGGCCAGTCGGGACTGTTCACCCCTTGCCGCTTCCAAATAAACCCCTGAGCCCCCCCCCCAAGCCGTGTCTCCGGATGTTTTGTGGGGGTGAGCTTCATCGTGTTTGTTGTCGAGCCCGGGATCGAGCGCCTACTTCAACCCCGGCGCCTTCAGTGGCATCGTCACCATCTCCAAGGGGGTCCGTGGCTGCCGGATCCTTGGCCAGCGCCGCACGCTGTGGTCGGTCCGAGGCTGGGGACGGGGAGCCCCGTTGTCCCCTTACACCAGCCTCATTAGCCTCATTGGCCTCATTAGCCTGACCTACCCACCATCCCCTGCAGCCTCCTGGAGATATTCAAGGCGGCGATGGACACTTACAGGCTCTCTCAGGGCCTTCCTCCTCATCCTCCTCATCCTTTGGGGCCAGAGCACTCTGGCGATGCCCCCCCCCTCCATCCCGAGGACAGGTTTTGGGGCATTTTAAAGCCGTTTGGGGTATGGGGTTTGGACGGGTATTAGGGGGGTGTGGGAGGATGGCTCGCAGTAGTTTTGGGGGAAAACGGGATGGTTTTAGGGTCTTTTCAGGGGGTCTGTGCTCGGTGTTTCCTTCACTGCCCTGCCCCCGACCCGCTTCAGTGTCTCCCAGGGGGCGTGGCGAACGCAAAAAGAGGGCGCGGTATGTAAATCTAGTTCGGCGAGGAGACGGGGCGCACCTCGTTTAAGGGCGGGGTTATGCAAATACTCGCTGAGGGTGGAAGGAAGGCGTGGTTATGCTAATCGTACGCCTGCGGGCTTCAAAGAGCCGCCGGGAGACCCCGCCTCGGTAGGTTGGGCGGGAAGGGAGGGGGCGGGGCGGATGCAAATTGCCGTGCGCAGCGCGCCCATCGGGTTAGGGCGGGGAAACGGCGAGGGGGCGTGGCGCATGGGAGCCGGAGGCGGGGATACGCAAATTTGGGCACCCACGGGCTCCAAAGGGCGGCCCGGGAGGCCCCGATGAGGAGAAGTCCGGGGGTCTCTCGGGGGTCGGTGGTCCGAAAATCCGGGCGAGAGATTGCGGGACAGTGCGGGGAAGGATCGGGGAGGGAGCGGGGCTGTCGGTGCGGGGCGGTGGATCGTGACCGTGAGTTGTGTGAGAGCGGGGGTCGGGGGTGACGGGGTGGCGGAGGAGGTGTCGTTATCGCTTCTCGGCCTTTTGGCTAAGATCAAGTGTAGTATCTGTTCTTATCAGTTTAATATCTGATACGTCCTCGATGAGAGGACTTTATATTAAACGGATTTTTGGGCTCGGGAGTTGGACCCGGAGCTTGCTCCCTCCGCTCCGCGCATCGTCCCGGTATTGCAGTGCCTCCGGGAACGGTGCACCCCACCCCGTGGGGATTTAAATTGGTTAAAAAGAGAGACAAATCTGTGAAATTTCTGACTTGCATCCTCCACTTGTGGGCACTTGCTCGGCGCAGCTTGACCTGCCCCGGATCCGCTGTTACAGTGTTATTATCCCCCTCCGCGCCGGCTCAGCGCCTTACACGGAGGCTCCGCTCCTTCCCATCTTGTCTCCCGGCCCTGACGTACATTCACCAGTATCCCCCCCCGCCCCCGGCTTGCCTGTCGAGACAGCCGAGTGTCGGTCGATCTACTGTAAAAAGGAAACAAAAGGAAAAATCGACCATTTCGGGGTTGAGGCGGGTGTCCTTCCTGGGGAGGGACGGACGCCTCGAGTATCATCGGGGTGGGGGGCAGCCAGCGTTGTCTTAGCTGGGAGGTGGAACCCATATCACGGACATTTGTTTTGGTCGTTAGGAAAATTTTCTTTTAGCTCGGCTAAACTGTACCAGACCTCTCAGATATTTTAAATATAAATTTAAGCGCCACAGAAATTTCTGCAAAAAAAGCAAGTATGTAATTATGAGGCTCCATTTTGGGTAGAAAGCAAGTAGTTTTTATAACTTTAGAGACATTAAGGGTGCAGAGGACAGCAATAGCTGTTTCCTTTTTTTTTTTGAGGCCAGTTTTAGTTTTCCCAGCTGGGTTTGCTGGTTCCCCCCACACACCCGGGGCCAGCCAGTAGCTGCTCCCGGTGCCCGTGGTGTTAAGATAAACGTGGTTTCGCGGGTCCGGGCCCATCTCGGAGTGTCAAAGTCTCCCGGCGCTCAGCGGGTGCCCGGACCATCGCAGCTGGGGCTCTATCCCTACCAGAGCCGGGT